TTTTCTCTGTTTTAGACTTCTTGTGTTCTTTGTCTCTATTTTCACCTTTCCAAATTGGACTTTGGATATATTACTGGTAAATCAGCAAATTACTTTCAACCGTGGAACTAATAGAAATGATAGAATTTTTTTTTTCTCTCATTTGGGGCAATATTTGGTCACCTGATACCTAGATGCCATTCCAGGTGCTTAATGTTTTTTGATATTCTAATAATGTAAACCAAAGCTTTCTTCTCTAGGAAAAAATTAACATGGAAAATCCATACTATATAGGAGGTCAACATAATAAAAGGTTAACTTGATATTTAGAGATTTATAAAGAACACATGGAGGTGTTTGATGCTAATTACACATTCTAGGTATGTAGATTTGAGAGCGTTTTCCTTCCTTAGGACACACCAGAGTTATAATACTATTATACCAAATATCATAAATAAACACCTTAGCAAAAAAAAAAAAAACACCTTTGCATTTTGCTGTTTGTATGGAGACTGACCATGACCACTTTACTGCCTATTTATAAGCTGAATCATTGAGCTTGTCAATATGATGGTAACTAAATTATTGCTGGCAATTGTATGAGTTTGTTAAAAATCTAGTCAGATGCTATTAAATAGTATTTAATGAGCCTTCTGAAAAACTAAACTTAAAGGTATTCAAATTTATTTTAGAGAGGGGCAAAATTTTTAGACTATGCCAACTAGATTTCCCTATAAAGTAAACTCCTCTGAAACTTTCCTTGTAATTTTTAGAAAATAATTTGGCAGTTTGAATCGAGAGACTTAAAAATAGTTATATTCTTTGTCCCTATAATACCACTTATGAAAAGCTATCCCAAGGAAACAATCAAAAATGTGATAAAAGATTTAATGAGTAGGATGCTCATTACAACATAATTATATAGGGAAATAAAAGGAAATAATACAAATGTCTAATATTAGATAATGGTTAAATATATCATCTCTGTGTATTACAAGTCTATGCTGTCATTAAAAATCATGTGCATTTCTAAAAGTATATATATAATTTCACAGGAGTTTTATGCAAAGCCACTTTAGCTAATTTATCCCAACTTTTTAAAATTCACGTGTACAAATAGAATATAAAAGACTGGTACATGATAACTATTATTAATTTTTTGATATACCTCTAGTTGGTGGAATTAGGGGCTTTTTTTCTTAATTTGTTTTTTAAATTTTTCTTATGACCTAATAAATTATTTCTAACGTGTGACTTATTTAATTTTTTAGTCATTTGCCAGTTTTCCTGTTTACCTATCTTTTCTTTATGCCAGTACCAAACTTGAAAGTCAGCTAAAATGAGGAATTATGAGAATGATGGGAAACAAAAGGGAAGGCTAGTCCCTTGCCCCCATAGTAACTTGATTTTTACAGATAAAAGCATAATATGTATCTTTCCCCCAAATACTCCAAAATAAACAATTAAGCAGAAAGCTATATATATATACACACACACACACACACACACACACACATATATATATATGTATATGATTTCTTGGAGCCTTATGCTGTGCTGAATTTAGACTGTGGTCGAGGTATGATTTCACCTTTCAGAAATCATGAAGCTTTAAGTGAAGGTATTCGTCAGTGCCAGCCTTTTAGAAGTGGTAAGGGAAAAATAGTCCACTTAGCTCCTTGCAGAGTCTCTCCTCAGAGGAAAGAGCGTAGTACAGAAGTAGACTTGTGACTGCCTAGCTGGGCCATCACAAAAGAAGGGACAGCCTTGCAAGATGTTTACATGATGTTGAAGCCAGAGGAGACCACCAGCCAGACAGCGCCACATCCTTGCAAAGTGTCACCGTTTGTGGCGCTCTGCTCAGTAAAAAGAGCATTATGAGAAAAAGCAGGGGGTGGGGGCGGGGATGGACGGAGAATTGTAGACTCAAATTCCAAGTTTAGAAAAGACAGTATTAACAAAATTGAAAATTAAAGATTTGTGTGTAACTGAATTCAGGTGGCTTAGAAATTGTTAGTGGATTTCTTCTTTTTTTTAAATTATTTATTATTATTATTATACTTTAAGTTCTAGGGTACATGTGCATAACGTGCAGGTTTGTTACATATGTATACTTGTGCCATGTTGGTGTGCTGTACCTATCAACTCGTCATTTACATCAGGTATAACTCCCAATGCAATCCCTCCCCCCTCCCCCCTCCCCATGATAGGCCCCGGTGTGTGATGTTCCCCTTCCCGAGTCCAAGTGATCTCATTATTCAGTTCCCACCTATGAGTGAGAACAGGAACTTAGCTAGAAATTTACTTTCTTCCTGCCAAGGACATCCAGTAATGCTTCTTTGTGACCACAAGCTAGTAACTTGTCTTTCTGAGTCTCAGTTTATTATCTCCTAAATGGGGATAATAATAGCACCTAACTCATAGGATAGCTGTGAGTAGGTAAAAAATTTAGCACAGTATCTGAAACGTATTACAGATTTAATACAAAGGGGTTCTTCTAATATTAATTATGTTTATATTATTGCACATTTTATCTCATAAATGTAAATGCTTTATAATTAAGAATATATTTTACTAAATTTTAGCTGCATTTTGCTACCCTTACTGCCTACTGAAGTTTTAAGATCTTATAAAACTATCTAATAGTTATTCAATTATGACTGACAATATGTTACTAAATGTATAAGGTTACACTGTATAACAGTTCTACTCCATTTAATAGTGAGTAGTAACCCTAGAGTCAAAGCTACTAGCTGAAGTTCCCTTCCCCAATGTTGCCATAATCATATGTATACCTGTGTGTGTGTGCATGTGCATGTGTGTGTAAGTGTATGTTTATAACATATGGGTATATTTAATTGTCCTATCTTTTCTAGCTTCTATGAAGAGACTATGCTTAAATAATAATTCTAACAACCCAATGACTCTGAAAAGATGAGTGTTTCTAAAATGTTCACATATGTCCCATTTCTATTCTTCCTCTAGAAACATGACATAGATGGGCCTTAGCTTGCCAAAGATATTCTGAGAAGCACCATATTTTCTGAATCTTTGCCTGCTATTGCTGAGCCATACTATTGGGGCCAAATCTCTTAAATTTTCCATTATCTCCTGAACACTTAATACTCAACGCTGAGACAAGTCACCTATGCCTGGCTTTTCTCCTTCCCAATCAACATAAATGACTTAAATATTATTGAATAAGTTAAAATAGTATTTGGACCCATTCAGCTTACCACCTATGAAACACCAGCTACCAATCACAGACGATATTAACCAAAAGTGAATCTGGAATGCCTCAAGAAAATCAGGATGACAGTCAATTTCCTACTAACTTCTTAGGCATTCCTAAGCTAAACTAGCCCTGCTAATGTTTCTCAGTGTCACTGAAGAAGCTGCATAGAAAAAAAAAAAAAAAAAAAAAAAAGGGTATAAAATCGTCTGTTCGGATAAGGAAGTTTTCATAATCATCTACGTATTTTGTTTCTTGCTCCCTAGGACTTCTTTTTTTCTTTGCCCTCCTCCCACTTATGTCATCTTCAGCTCCCACTTATGTCATTTGCAGCTGCAGTGGAAAGCATTTGTGCTCACTATACTGCAAAGGAGGTGACCGAAAATAAGCTCCCGTGAAGCATCACCGTCATTACATGGGAGCAGTTCTCTGGCTCCACGTTTCAATTCCTCCAATCTTCCTGCGAGAGATTGACTTTTTCCTTTCTCTAATGTGTTGAAATACGGACATTTTAATAAGAATGGATAAGAATATGGATATTTAAAATAGGCCATCTAGGTTGTAAGAATGACTACTTTTTGTATTGGACTCAGTAAAAAGTAATCATTTTGAAGAGCGAAACATGTGGCTAGAAACCTGTTTAATTTATTTATTGTCCCTTACTTAATATAACGTCATCTGCAGTGACCTCGAGTGTCCTTCACAACATGTTTTCCTCATTAATACTTAGTGTCTTGGAAGCTGGTCTGTAACTCAGAAGTTGAGAATCATTTCTTTAATGGTTGCAGAATGTACAGTCTAATACATACAAGTAGTCAGGGGAAACTACTACCAAATATTTCTAAAATCAGAATGGCAGAAAGAACACAAACGATTATAAAAGAAAATGTCACAGAAAAAACACATGACCAAGTGAGAAAAAAAATGAAGAATACTTATCAACTCTAAGAAAAAAGAAATTTTGAGCAAAATTCTGAGAGAAAACTGTCATTATGAACAGTATGTAACTACAGTGATCTCAAGAAAACAAAACACAGATGTTGTTAACGGTTGACAATTAGAGCTACATGAATGATGTGTGAAGGCCTGAAGATGTTATTTGTTTATTAAAAAGAAGCAGTGATCCATCGTGTATATGCTTGGGTTACGAGTTCATCCCTCATCTTCTTGGTCATTTGTTTATATAGCCCACCAGTGTGGGCTTTACTATTCTAAAATGGATTTGTTTTTCAGAGTCATTAAGATCTTTATACTATTACTCTCTCTCTCTCTGAACCTAAAATATATAGCCAAGAAAGCTTGTTTGTATTCTGTTTAGAAAGTGGGTATTTAATTAGTGCTACTTCTATAAACATACCATGTTTAAACTGATTACGCTTGTTACACATCACCTCCAGCTATACCTTTAGCAACTAAATGACTCTTCCTCGTCAGGTATCATTTATGTCTTGTTAGTATCAAGAGGAAATGAAATGACATCACACCCATTTAATTTCCCCTCAGGACTCTAAAGTTTTGTTACTATACTAATGGCACTTGTTTGTAATGTGGAGCATTAGAAAAAATGAATAATTTAATAACATTATGTAAAGTGATGAAGGCACATTGTTACAGTCTGCTGTATCATGTATATACTTCTGCCCATAATGCCAGGAAAAGCTGCACTAAAATGAGGCATCAAATTTTGTTATTGTACTGTTTCTTAAAAGTATATACTAGCTAAGATTTTTTTTCCTCCCACCCTTCTTTCCTCCCTCCTTTCCTTCCTTCCTTTCAATATTCCTGACAGGTACTAAGCACAAAACCATGCTGGAAGCCCGGAATGGAAGTGGCACTATCAAAGCCTTTCCTAGGGCAGGAGTGAAAGGCAAAGGACCTGTTAATAAAGGAAATACAGGCCTCCAAAATAAAACATTTCACTGTGAAATCTGTGATGTGCACGTCAACTCGGAAACACAACTTAAACAGGTAAGCAGCAAGTATTCTAGGAGTGAAAACCAACAAGGGACAGCCTTATAAGCAGGATGTGTGTGCTTCCTTCATTTTTATTTCTGTCTTTCTGTCCCATCCACCCATCTATTCATCCATCCCTCCATCTGCCCATCTGTTAACCCACTTATCTTACCTTCACTGTTCTGATTTATTTATGCTTATTTTAGTTGCTTGAGGAAATACTAAAATGTAATAGATTCTAGAGCCTTTCAGAAATTGTTGGCAGTGAGTTTTTACTATTCTTGTATATGAAGAGTGGGTGGAGAAGGGATATCAGATCTTTTCTCTACCAGATTTTCCACTCAAAAGTGTTGATTTTCTTTAAAGGTCAATTTGCAGTACTCCATTTTTATTTGTTTAGATATTTACATGCTGCAACTAATTTTATACTGAGCTATTCTTTTATTTTATGTGTTTTATTATATGGTGTTGTACTGTATGTTTAGATCTTGCAGCCACCTGCAAAAGGGATGACTAATCATGTTGTATTCATTTTTACTATGAATAGCCTTCCAAAGCGATCATTTATACATTGCCAACTGAAGGTCCAGCCCTCATGTTGTGTTTTGTTTTATACATATGTACAATATTTTACTGATTTTATGCACCTTAGTTATTTATCTTTAGAATTTAAGGGTTTGGCATTTGACTGTACAAATGTGAGGATAAACATTAGTATGGAAATAAATTCATTCGTTCCTGGGCATCTTTGTTTATTTGCATGTAAAATTCCTTTAGACATTCCTTTCCTTTGTAAATGCTTTTCAAAAAAAAAAAAAAAAAGACAGAAAAAGAGATGTGTGCAGTGATAAGAAGAAAAGCTAGGAAATAAAAAAAAAAAGACACTACTATTTGTTTAAAAATATACTAAAATAGGCTGGGGACAGTCGTTCATGCCTGTACTCCCAGCACTTTGGGAGGCTGAGGCAGGTGGATCAAGAGGTTAAGAGTTCAAGACCAGCCTTGCCAAGATGGTGAAACCCCATCTCTACTAAAAATGCAAAGAATTAGCCATGCATGGTGGTGGGCACCTGTAATCTCAGCTACTTGGGAGGCTGAGGCAGAGAATTGCTTGAATCCGGGAGGCAGAAGTTGCAGTGAGCTGAGATCGTGCAACTGCACTCCAGCCTGGATGGCAGAGCGAGATTCTGTCTCAAAAAAACTATATATATATATATATATAAATAAAATATGGATAGCATAAAATATATATATCCTCAAGGCATCAGAATCTCAGGACAAAAGTGCATGATCTTTTATTTTTGTCTCTCTGAAACTTGCATGAAATAATGAATATCTTTCCCCAGGTTAAAGCAATATTTGTGACAGGTTTTTGGAGATGACTTTTTTAAAGCTGTCATTTTAAATTACTTTTAATAGCACATTAGCAGTAGAAGGCACAAAGACAGAGCTGCTGGGAAGCCCCCGAAACCTAAATACAGTCCTTACAACAAACTACAGAAGACAGCACATCCACTGGGGGTGAGTGTCATTTGGCAAGAGTCCAGCCTTTATTCCCGAATGGAATTATTGGTTTCTTGATTTGTTCTGGCACTTTGCCACCTTTAACCACAGCCCAGTACCTTTTACCTTTTTGAGTTGAGCTCAGGTTTGTCATAGATCATAGGGAAAAGAGAAAAACCAAACTCTTTTGAGTCAAATAAGTAATCCCATGAAATCTGGTCTTGATATAAGTTAGTACTTTTGGAAAGAAGGTCAGGAAGAAACAAATTCATGTATATCTTTTTTAATATGTTTAAGAGACAAAGTATTGGTATTGTTGGTATCCTCAACAATTTTGGATTTTGAGTAACAGTCTCAAAGTGTAGCTTATTTTATTTAATTATTCATTCAAGGACATTGCATAAAACCCAGGAAATACTTTGTAGGTATTTCCTCTACCATGACTGCAAATAAGCTTTTTATATTAGTAAGTATACTATTATAATGTCCTGACCTGGATATTTTGGTAGGACTTTAGAGGAAACCTGTGTGAAACATCTTGACGTTGTAGATGAATATTGATGAACATGTATATTATTTTGTTTTGTTAGTTTGTTTCTGATTGAAGTGACCGTAGCTTTCATCGGAGAGACTCAGAGCTCAATGAAAAGTTAAAAACAACTGATGTATAATTTAAGTTAAATTATGCATTTTGAAACATTTATTCAAATTAGATCTTATTACTATTTGATGCTATTATGTGCTGCTGACACATGAAAACATAACTAAAGGAAAACTGCGATTATCTATTATGAGACCCCAGTACAAGCTGTCCTGTTAGTTTAGTAGCATTGCCCATTTTGTTCAAATGAACAAATAACTTGAAATGAAGTTATTTAATTTTGTATCCTGAAACTTTACTGAAGTTGTTTATGAGCTTAAGGATCTTTTGGGCCAAGACTATAGATTTTTCTAGATATAGGATCATTTTGTCTGCAAACAGGGATAGTTTGACTTCCTCTCTTCCTATCTGGATGCTGTTTATGTTCTTCTCTTGCCCGACTGTCCTGGCCAGGGCTTGCAATACTGTGTTGAATAGGAGTGGTGAGAGAGGATACCTTGTATTGTGCCGATTTTCAAGGGTAATGCTTCCAGCTTTTGCCCACGGTATGATGTTGGCTGTGGGTTTGTCATACATGGCTCTTATTATTTTGAGATATGTTTCTTCAGTACCTAGTTTATTGAGAGTTTTATCATGAAGCGGTGTTGAATTGTATTGAAAGCCTTTTCTGCGTCCATTGAGATAATCATGTGTTTTTGTCTTTAGTTCTGTTTACGTGATGAATCACATTTATTGATTTGCATATGTTGAACCAACCTCTCATCCCAGAGAAGAAGCCTAATTGATCGTGGTGGATAAGCTTTTTGATGTGCTGCTAGATTTGGTTTGCCAGTATTTTGTTGAGTTTTGCATCGATGTTTATCAAGGATATTGGCCTGAAGTTTTCTTTTTTGTTGTGTCTCTGCCAGATTTTGGTATCAGGATGATGCTGGCCTCATAGAATGAGTTAGGGAGAAGTTCCTTCTCAATTTGGAGGGATGAAATAATCTGTACAACAAGCCATGACACAAGTTTACCTGTATAACAAACCTGTATATGTACCCTTGAACTTAAAATAAAAGTTTAAAAAAGTGAAGTTACTTTACTTTTCTGTAAAGACACAATTTTAGCTGGATTGGGAGGCGAAGAATTCTGCACAGTGCCTCAGCACCACTAGTCATAACCCTGAATGCTATCTCTGTCCAGCATAGATGCAGCTTTTGACAATCAGGTGAATGGTTCTTAAATAAACAGAGTAGTCAGAATTGTGTTGCTGTTAGTATTTAAACCCTTCTTCTTCACTATCACTGTGTTACTGACTCCACAAATGGGAACATTCTCTCAGTGAGAACAGGTATTTTGTGATGTTACTAGCCAGAGAATGAACTGGCTTTGTAGAGAAGGATTGAGAAAATGTGGTTACCATTTGCACAAAGAAAAAGTGGAACGTGTCAAAATTTAGCAGAGAAAAGGAATTTTTGGTTGTTTTTAAAATTTCTCTATTGAAAGTGGAATTTTATTGTTTTTATTTATTTTGAATAGTGCTTCATACAATTGGAAACAACATTCTCTGTGTAACCCAGGTTACACACTTGGATAGTCCAATGGCATTTGACAGCATTAAAAATCTCTTTAGAAATGTATCCTCTTTAATAGTTAATGTATGTGTAAAGGGTGATACAAATATTCTATATTTTCTCATGATGAATACTTTCCTCTGAAAGCATAATTTTCAACAAACATAAAATAAAATAAGGTTGCTGAGTACTTTTCTGGAGGACTTTTCAAGCATTCCTGGTTGGCCATTTTCAAGTATCTTCCAACTCTTCCAAAAGGAAAATGTTCTATACCTCCCATTTTCTTTGTTGTCAGTTCACAAGTGTGAAGCTTTTTTCTTTATAGTTGTTTACTGCTATATTTTAAAAGCTCCCTACCATTTTGGGTTTTAAGTACGGATTCCAAAGCTGTTGTTCTTTTACAATACTTTTTCTCCCTTGCAGGTAAAATTAGTATTTTCAAAAGAACCTTCAAAGCCATTGGCGCCACGAATTCTACCAAATCCTCTAGCAGCTGCAGCAGCTGCAGCAGCAGTGGCTGTGAGTTCCCCCTTCAGTCTTCGAACTGCTCCAGCAGCAACACTGTTCCAGACTTCTGCTCTTCCTCCAGCACTCCTGCGGCCAGCTCCTGGACCCATTCGGACCGCCCACACTCCTGTGCTGTTTGCTCCTTACTAAATTCCAAATAGGAGTAATTGTACTGCAATAATTTTTCAAAAAACAAAAAACAAAACAAACAAAGAGAACTATGCAGTGTTTATTTATAGTTTAAAGTATATCTGAAGAGCCAGGACTTTTGATAGTGAATTGAAAAGGTTATAAACAAGGGGGG